TTTTTTTTTACCGGTCTGGTTAAAAGGCCCTAGGCTTTGATGTCTCGGAACTCAGGATATTTGCTTTCTTTGTAAAAGACTTCTAAAGATACAATTTAAATTAAGGCTTTAAGTGAAGTCAGGACATCTTGCACGTAGCCCCAAAACAATGAACTAGATAAGGAGATAAATCCTATCTTCTTCCTGAAACTGGCTAATGGGCAACCTTTACAAACATTCAAACTATTTCATTCAATATGACAGAATCCTACCTTCTTCTGAGCACACCCAACATCTTAATCACCAAGCTTCATCCTCAAACCGTGCTCGACTCTTGGTGCCTGTCTGGGCGGCGCTGACTGGCTAGGAAATTATAGGCTGTCCCAGTGTCGTTCCAGGAAGGCACTTCTCTAATGACATGGGGTCCCCTGCTGAGCTTCATCCTTTTCATTCTTTATTAATACAAGTTCTGTTGACCGAACGCCAGGCAGATAAATGTCTCAGGGTAAGAATACAAGTGTGAAGCAGAGCACACATCAGAAGTTACTGGACCGCTATAATTGTTTCCTGCTAGGATATAAGAGATGTTTTGGCATAACGCACGACTAGGCTTTCCTCCTTGAAAGATGGGTACTTAAGCTCAGCAGAAGGATGACAAACTCCTCTCCTTTATCTCCAGTGAGGCCTGCAGGAAGAGGTTGAGAGCAGGGTTTCTGTTTCAAGCTGGGCAAATGAGAAGGTGGAGCCGATTCAGGCAGTTTCAAAAGCTTTCAGAATCCAACGCAGCCACCACCTCCCTCTCCCTGGTGTGACCTGGCCCTTCCTTAGCCTAGCACACGAGGACTTCATCATCCTTTATGTATTTCCCCTCCCAGCCCTGCTGCTATTCTTATTTCTCAGATCAGGAGCAGAGAGCTTGAGTTGAACCTTTTCAAAGGCACCTAATGGATTTAGGAGCCTAAGCATAACTTTCAGAAGCAAATGAGACACTTAGGAGCCTACATCCCTTCGACTCCTAACTGCCAAAGAGGATTTGACCAAAGGATCCTTGCCCAGGGTCACGCAGGAAGGCTGGGACAGAACAGGGCCTTGATTCTGGGTTTCTCAAGCTCTCACCCTGCTCCCCCGGCCACGGGCTTGCCCGTCCTCCCTTATTTCCTTTCTGCTGCACCCTGGAGCCTTGGCTTATGAGCTTCAGTTCATTTCTGTATGTGCCTATACCTTTTCCCCATATCAGTAAGCTCTGCTTCAAGGGCCTTGGGATGCCTTAGGGCTTGTGCTCTCTTTGCACTTTGGGCTGGGTCAGGCCAGATCCGGAGCTTCTCCTGGGAGCAAATGACAGCATCTCCCAATAATTTCAGGATGGCTGCAAGGCATCTTTCAGGATCAGGCAAATATAGGTCTCTCTGTTCCTTTCTTTCCATTGAAGTTCAGCTTTCTCTGGGGCAGAAGTACAAGCAGTTTTGTTGCACGGCGCTTTAGGACAGGAAGTAAAGAGTGACATATCCAGATGAAATGGAAAGGTGGGTGGGATTGGCTTCTCCCCCCAGCTGACTTCTGTTTTCAACAGCATCTCTCTGTTATCAGCATCCTCGTACTTCCCCAACCTCTTGTTTTCATGATCTGCACCATAACTGGGTCTAGTGTTTGGGGCAGTTTGCACTCGGGGGGCCGGGTGGGGACTGTGCATCTCTATTGACTCTAGCTTTGTGTGTCTTCTGTCTCGCGCTCCTAAAAACCAGTAGAGGAAACAGCTGCAGGAACATAACAGGCATTGGCTTTGCTTTCCAACTGGTTAATGTGGATCATTCTTTTTGGGCAAATGCTACATTTCCCAACCCAACCTTGAAGTTCCTGCTAGTATCTGGTCCTGCCACACTCCTTGCACCACCACCACCCCCTCCAGCCCCCACCATGATGCCTCTGCACCAAGCTGCATCTTCCTCTCCAGTGGATGGACTCTCTGTGTTTGATTAAGGAGGTTTTGGGCAGGTTTGCAGTATGCACTCTGGTCTGGAGCCCAGGGGTCAGCTCCAGCAGAAAGGGAGAGAAGCTGCTTGTGAGCAAACTGTGCTTCTTGACCCCCTCATGCTGTAGCTTTGGAGGGCTGTTAGTGCCTCACACCTACCAGATGCAAGAGAAGTCAGCCTCCCAGGGGCCTATTGTACTTGGCTTTCAAAAGGGGTTAAAAACAGGGTCTTGGCCAATCCTGAGCCATAGGATAGTATGACTGGAAGGGACCTCACAAGGTCATCTAGGCCAGCCCCCTACCCAAGGCAGGACCATCCCTGACTGAACCATCCCAGCCCCCAACCTGCTCTTGTAAACTTCCAAGGATGGACGTTACACAGTTTTCTAGGCAGCCTGTTCCAGTGCTTGACCACCCTCATCGTCAGAAATTTCCTCTTAATTTCCAACCTAAATTTGCCCTGCTGAAGCTTGAGGCCATTGCTCCTAGCCCTGTTCCTCTATGGTGACGGAGAAAAACCCATCTCCAGCCTCTCCATAATCCGCCTTCAGGTATTTAAAGGCTGTCACTAGGCCTGTGCAAGTTGGCATCGATCTGATCTGGATCACCGGAATGGGTTTCCACCTCGATCCGGCCGAAGCGGCTCCGAAGCTTCGGCGCCTCCTCAGAGATCCAGCCATAGGGGACAAAGGGGGAACCAGGAATTGCACCTCAAGCTGCAGACAAGCAAAACTGGTGCCATGGATGACACTGCGTGTGTTAAGGCGCAGCGGGGTGACAGCTGCAGGGATGGTGGCCCCTGCTGAGGAGGAGATTGGTGCAGGGGGGTCCTGGGGCCCTGCACCCCTAGCTGCTGACAGACAAAACTCATGTCACGGGAGCTTGTGGCACTGCCTGTGTCTGTCTTGGGGGAGTTGATTCTCTGTATTGATTCTTTCCTCTCCTTGGCCTGGTTTTGCAGGTGCTAATTGATGGCAATTAACTGGCTACATTAGCTAGATCCTGTGTATTGAGCTGGTCCCTGAGTAAATCATGCTTGATTGGTAACTGGTAACACAGCAGCTTAGCAGCCAGGCCTGCAGTAGGGTCTCCCATGCCCCAAGACAGACGCAGTCAGTCCCACAAGCACCCACGACATGAGTTTTGTCCGTCAGCAGCTAGGGGTGCAGGGCCCCAGAGCCCCCCTGCACCAATCTCCTCGACAGCTGGCAGGCTTCGTGGCCTGACAAACAACAACGTTATAGATATTTTATTGTTTCCCCATTATACCCTCTGGCCGGATCTCCGAGGCGGCTCCGAACCGCTTCGGGAAGCCTAACGAGGCAGCGCTTCAACCTGGATGTGCTGCTTCGGACCCTGAAGCATCCGAAGCTTCTCCAGATCCGAAGCTCTGTCCGAAGCCTCGCACAGCCCTAGCTGTTACCAAACTTTGCTCAGTCATCTTTTCTTCAGGCTAAATACCCCTGCTTCCTTCAGCCATTCCTCATCAGTCATACATACCTGATCATTTTTGTTGCTCTGCACTGGATGCTTTCCCACCTGTCCAAATCCTTCTTGAAGTGTGGAGCCCAAACCTGTGTCCAGGTGAGGCCTCCCCAGTGCAGCATAGAGTGGAAGAATCACTTCCCTTGATCTCTAAGTGGCACTTCTACCGATACAGCTCAGGATGCTGTTGGCTTTTTTTGCAACAAGAGCACGTGGTCGGCTACAACCCCCCAGATCCTTCTACAGTTGCTGGAAGCGCTAGGACAAGATAGCAGGCAAGATGACGGGGGAGCACCCAGGAGGCTCATGCTCTGGTGTGTGACCTTGCAGAAGTCCCCTGACCCCTCAGCCATGCCGTCTGCTCAGTGGGGATAGCCCACCTCCACTTCCTAGTGGTGCTGTAAAACACCTGGAGCTAGAAGGTGCTATTAGAGGACACGGCATCAGGCTCCACCTCACTCTGATGCACATGGGCCCTTGAAGTCAACCTCATCTTCAGGGTCCCATGAGCAGAGCCCATCTAGTGAGTCCGCTAACTAGCCAGACAGCTCGTTCTCTTCTGTATTTCCATGTTCCTGCCATCACAGCGTTTTCCTTATCCTTCTCCATCCTTGTCAAGAGCCGTAAGCTTGTGGAGGTCCCTAGAACAGAGTGACATGTTTGCATTTCTGTTAGGTTAGCCAGGTGGATCACAGAGGTGCAAAGCAACCTCAGTGCATTATCCACCACCAGCCTGCGAGCAGAGGCCTGAGCAGGGTGCTCAGCGCCTCCCTTGCCAGCTGAGCTCTGCTTCAGTGCCCGGGCAGCTTGAGCCACGATCCCGAGTATAGCAAAACTTCGGTGGGTCAGACCCTCACGGCTGGGTGCATCTCACTGAACAAAAAGATGTGGAGGAGAAATCAGGGCTGGCTGGTTCACAGCCTCTCTGGAGACTGAAAGGGGAGGCATGAATTGGGAAGAAGGGGGAGAGAGTCATGACTCACCACCCACTGAAGTCAAAAGGAGGATTTTGATTGACTTTGGGAGCTGGTGAAGGCTATGGGTGGCCATGAAGTCGGCATTAGCAGCACTGACACCTGTGCCGCAGAAGTACGTTAGCCAGCCTGCCTTCATGGGTATGAGGCCTGTGTATTGCTGGCAGCATCTGGAGAGCACAAGTGCAGTAAGTGCCAGGAGCAGATGAACTACAGCTGTATAACAGAGATACAGCTTTCACACAAATATCCCAAGCTATAAAGAGCTAGGCAGAATAACAGGAATATGGACTAGACATATGACGCCATCCCAGAAAATGCTGTCCAAAGAAATTTGCACCAAAAAAGAAAGCATGGTTGTATGTATTTATTAGACATGATTTCTTTTTCTGTCATTTCAAAGCACTTTGGAAAGGAGAGCATTTTTACAGGAGACTGAGGCATGGAGCAGTGAAGCTGCACAGCCTGAGAGCAGCAGAGCTGCAAACAGAGTCCAGGTCCCCGGCCCCCTCCACCACCCCGTGCCCCGCTCCGATGTCCTTTCCTGAACAGATACAACAAGCCGAGTGATTTTGGTCTCTTGGTCTCCGCAGGTTCGAGCCATGAGGCTGTCGTTCGTGGGCGAGATGGGCTGGGAGCTGCACGTGCCCAAGGGAGACTGCGTGAGAGTGTACCAGGCGGTGATGAAGGCGGGTGCCCAGCACGGCATTGCTAATGCAGGATACAGAGCCATCGACTCCCTCAGCATTGAGAAAGGTCTCTCAAGAGAACGTCTGAATTGCGCATCTCTCTCTGCTTTTCCCCCATGGGCACGGTGCATGTGAGGCAAGCCAAGGATGCTGGCAAAGAAACATGCTTCTGCTTTGTTCCCCCGAGTCTTCCCATGTGGCCGGTTCTTTCGGTGGAAAAATATCTCTACCTGCCTTTGAAAGCTGAAGCCGAGGGCAGCCAGAGTGCTGGCTGAACTTTTTAGACTCAGTCAAAGGGTTGATAAAGGGGTGGACACCTCCCTTGCCCTTGTCCCTCTCCATCATTTTAGTTTTGACTGTGGATTTGGTGCTTCCTGCCCCAGGCTGAGGGCGCAATGGGCCACAAGACCATCTGCTTTTTGCTTGGGTAGG